GTTACAATATATACAGTCTACATAGACTAGGGAGGTAATGATTATACAGGGAATCACTGGAGATTTCCAGACTGTACCCTTGAGGGAAGTAAACCTTGACTGTGATTTTATTAAAGGCAAAAGTTTAGTAGGTGTTAGTCCTAAATTACCAGTTGCTGGCATTGATCTAATTGTAGGGAATGATCTTGCTGGTAATTGAATTAAAAGAGATGACCACCCAATAATGCTAACAAAGCCAGAGGTGATTAGGGCACAGACAGATTCTGAGGACAAGGTAATGTACCCAGCATGTACGTGACCCAGTCAAAATCAGTCTCAAATATCACAAACTCCCAGTAATGTAAGTCAGGAAACAAAATTAGAGGTTAACAAATCAAATAATGAAGTGGATCTTTGTGACACTTTTATGGCCAAGTTGGAAGAAGCTAATGGGAACAGGATGGGGAGCACCTCCACCAAACCACCTAGGAAAAAGGGTAGGGGAGGGTGTAGTCCATTTACCACATCTGGCTCTTCAGACTTGAGATCAAAATCAAATTTTATTTATCAGCAAAGAACTGATCCTACGTTGACTGACTTGCATAATAAGGCAGTAACTGAACTAGAAGCAGAATCGGAGGCTATGACTTATTACTACACTAAAGAGGTGTTGATGCGGAAGTGGAGACCTAGGAGCTCACCTGTATCACACACTTGGGAGGTAGTTAATCAAGTAGTCCTACCGAGGGGTTATAGAGAAAAAGTGGTAAGTGTAGCCCATGATTCACCAATAGGCGGTCATCAGGGTATTGCAAAAACATATAATAAAATAAGCAAGTACTTTACCTGGCCTGGATTAAAGAAAGATGTCATCCAGTATTGTAATGAATGTCCAGTATGTGTAAAAACTGGCAAACCAAACCTGGTAATACCAAAAGCCCCTTTACAGCCAATTGTGGTGGCTGAAGAACCCTTTACCCATATTATAGGTGATGTAGTAGGCCCATTGCCTAGAACCAAGAGTGATAATATGTATATCACCACCATGATGTGTCAGACTACACGCTTTCCTGAGGCATTCCCTGTGAGAAATGCTACAACGAAAGTGGTAGTAAGGCACATAATGAAATTTTGTACTATTTTTGGTTTACCAAAAGTAATACAGACAGATAATGGGGCCAATTTCACTTCCAAAAGGTTTCAGCAATTTTGTGGGGAGTTTGGCATCCTCCATAAGACATCCACTACTTACCATCCTGAGAGCCAAGGTGCTTTGGAAAGGATGCACCAAACCCTTAAACAAATGCTGAGAACCAGTTGCATGGAAACTGGCAGAGACTGGGATGATGGTCTTCCACTGATGCTCATGGCACTGAGGGATACTTATCAGGAGTCCCTGGGGTGTTCACCCAACTCATTAGTTTTTGGCCATGAGGTGAGAAACACTAACCATCTTAAGAGATAAGTTGGTTGGAAATCTGAAGTGTTGTGCAGGTAAACTATATTGATACATTACAAGACAAGTTCAATAAAACCAGGGCTAAAGCCTCAATTCACCTTAAAGAAGCTCAAGGAAAAATGAAGGCACAGTACGATAAAAAGACATAGCAACGACATTTTGAGGCAGGTGATAGTGGTAGTACTAACGGCCCGACAGGGACCAACATTGTTGCATAGGTTCCAAGGTCCTTATACAGTGATAAAGAAACTCAGTCCCACCAATTATGTAATCCAAACACCTGATCTCAAGAGAAAGGAAATAGTAGTGCATGTGAATAGGATGAAACTAACACAGAAGGGAACTACCAATACCAACCAGGTGCTTAGTGTAGCCCATGTAGATGAGAATAATGGGGAATATGATTTTGATAATGTACCTAATGCTCATGTACCTTATTTTAGCAATGGGGAGTGGTTGGCTAATGTCCAGAAGTTGGTGGAACATTTGTCATCAGAGCAGAAGCAGGACTTGGAGCAGTTGCTGACTTCTCATGCAGACATCTTTGGCAATATTCCCACCCAGACTACAGTTATTCACCATGACATCGAGGTGACAGACAACCAACCAGTCAAGTCACACCTATATAGAGTCAACCCTACCAAGTTGAATCTCATCCGGAAAGAAGTCGACTACATGCTTCAACATGAATTGGTGAGACCTAGCAGCAGCAGTTGGAGTAGTCCGTGTATTTTGATTCCAAAGAAGGATGGAACTCACAGGTTGGTCATTGACTACCGTAAGCTAAATGTAATGACTGCTGATAACTTTCCAATACCTAGATTAGATGATTGCATAGCCAGTGTTGGTAAAGCAAAGTTTGTAACCAAACTAGATTTGTCAAAAGGGTACTGGCAAATTCCTTTAACACCAAGAGCTCAGGAGATGAGTGCATTTATAACTGCAGATGGGATGTATGAATTCACTGTAATGCCTTTTGGACTGAAAAATGCCCCAGCAACTTTCCAGCGTCTTATGAACTTAGTGTTAAAAGACATACCACTACGTAGAGCTTACTTGGATGATATTGTAATTTATCACAATAATTCGGAGGACCATATGAAAGGTTTGGCTAAACTATTAAAATGCTTAAAGGAGGCTAATGTAACTGTAAACTTACACAAATGTACTTTTGCTAGTGCTAGTATTTCTTACTTAGGATATGAAGTGAGAAATGGGAAGGTGTTACCACTCAAAAATAAAATAAATGATATATTAGAGTATCCAGTGGTGACTAGCAAGAAGGAGGTACAAAGATATCTAGGAATGTGTGCTTATTATAGGAAGTTCTGTAAAAAATTTGCAGCAATTGCAGCTCCTTTGACAAACTTGCTATGTAAAAATGTAAAGTTTAGATGGTCTCAGGAATGTCAGGATGCATTTACTAAATTAAAAGGAATGTTGTCATCTGGTCCAGTGTTAGCTACTCCTGACAACTCTAAGCCATTCAAACTATATATAGATGCTTCGGACTGGGGTGCTGGTTCTGTGCTAATGCATGATGATGATGAGGGTACTAATCATTCAATACATTACTATTCTAAAAAATTTACCAAATGTCAACAGAATTACTCCACAATGGAGAAGGAGGCTTTATCATTATTACTAGCTGTTAAAAAAATTGACATTTCTCTATCAGCCAATACTGTTTAAGTGTTTACTGACCACAACCCCTTAACATTTATTGCTAGCATGAAGAATTCCAATCAGATAATATTGAGGTGGTCTTTATTGTTGCAAGAGTACAATCTGGTCATCAAACATATTCCAGGAAAATTAAATATAGTAGTAGATGCACTTTCTAGATTGCCAAAACCTGGGGTGACTTAGAGTTGTACTATTGCTCAGAGATGTATATATTATTGTCTCTCTATTGTTTATTATACAGTACTGTATATTATTTACTGTTTCTTTACAATTATTATGAAATCTGTTTGAGGTGTTAATTTTATGTGAAAAAAAAAGTGAATTTCTCATTTTTTTTTCCTCCACGGCTTAGGACCTTACCTCCTGTGGAGGTTAGTTTCAAGTATAAAATGTTGGTGGACACAGTGGAGAATTTTTGATTGGAAAATATCTACAGCTGATTTCAAGGGAGGCCATAAGTTACCAGTAATACTCCTCCCAGCAAAGTAGTATCTTCTCAGCTGGAGATTGTCAGGAATAATGTGAACTGGAATACAGTAGTCAAACTATGTGAGGGAAAAATGGACTCGATCTAAAAGCATGCATGGGGAATATGGTAAATAAAGTCAATAAAGGGTTTGATTGCAAATGTAAAGCATAGAGTATTATGGGGTGATGATGCATAAGAGGTGGACGCCATCTTGACTTGAGGGGGAGGTGAATCACTGTCGACCCGGTCCTGCTATTTGAGGGGGTTTTCTCCGGCCGTACAGTCAGATAAGCCTACCTTCGTATCTAAACAGGGATGCAAGATATAGAGTAGTTATGCAGACTTTGGAGGTGTTCTTTAAGAGAGAGTCCAGGTTTCCTAGAGGTGTAAACATGTGTGTCATCGGTGGATAGCTGCGGTGGCTGTGTGCACGGTTCCAGGTTTGGGACGGAGAGCTTTAGGGTATCTAGAGCCCGCTTGGGGGGGGGGGGTTATATCACGTTATAATGACCTTGTGTTGTAAGGAACAATATTTCATATGTGTAATATCATTTGTTTTATACATATAAATTCGTCTTTGTACTAGGCTGTTTACCTTACTTCTTGATTTGCCCTAGGCTCAAGTACAATCATCTATTCCCCTAGACAACATTTAGAGGACCACCACCACTAAATTCTTAACAGGCCTCCGAGACACAGCTATGACAAAAGTTTTTGACGCACGCACCCATGACACCCAGTACTCCGTGAATTACTCCTGGCTTGCACACCACCACACAGCAAGAACAACACCGCAAAGGCAAAGCACTACACATAGACAGAAGGCAGAGTCGAGTGACTCTGCCATACAACACATCAGCATGAGAACTGGGGTTGAATGGATGGCACGAGGGTCTGGGGATACCCCTTTCCCTTCCCGGGGAGGAGGGGCGGGGGCTGCGCAGAAAGCAGTGCAGCGGCAGTTATGACATCATGCTTGTTTGCTTGTTTTGGAATTGGGGCATTCTGCTTGACAGTTTGGCTTTTGGTAGCAATTTTGAACCAAATGGAGTTTGTTTTGAGACGCCTACCTTTTTGGGTGCCTAACCCAGTCGATGGCAGACATGGAATGCTTCCAACCACATGGAAATTTCTATAGGTCATTGCTCCTCATGCCTCTCTGAGGGGCCCAGGTTCTGGCTTGTGGTCACCGGTAGGCAAGAACTCCAATCAAATTGACTGATGCCATGGTCTAATACATACATATCAGCCCGATAAGCTCTGGGGAGCCAGAGGGGCCCTCCACAGAATTTTTTTTACAGTAATTATTTTCCTCACACACTAGGGCATTATCTCAAACAGGGGAGCAGTGCAAGAACTAAAGGATCTGCAAGAAATAAAAATAAGAAAAAGTTAACAAAAACTTACTCTTCTGCTATATAAAAAGCACTAAAAGGAAGAATGGAGGTTGTGATTGGACGTAGGTGTTTCTCTTGTTCAGCTCTCATGGTCTCCTCAGCAATATGCTTCTGTTCCTCGTCATGGTAGAAGATAGCAGACATATACTGAAAGATTGAAAACAAAACATTCAGTGTCACAAGTGGGTTATTATTTAAACTAACATCCACATATACTGGGATGCACAATGTACATGGAGAAAATGATGGATTGAAAATTTCTCTGGTGCTGTAACCAACAAGGTCAGTGTTACCAAACACAATATTCATCTCATTATTAAAGCTGCCAAATCACAGCATAGCTCCTCCAACATAAAAAAGCAGTGTGATAGGGTCTGTCTGATATATATTAAGACATTCTCTAGCTATCAGATGAACAACACACATTTGGAAAAACTACAATGTACAACTATAATCTACAATTCCCTTCTGGGAATACCTAGTGACATACAGAACAATCCCAAAGAGTGTGTCAATGGATAACTAACATCAGTTAATTTACTAAGAGAGCACTTTGAAAATAACCACATGAAGTATTTAAAGGCTGTTATATGTAAACTCTCCTACCACTAGATATTTTACATCTGACCGAAGATGCTGCTTTAAAGTTCACATACATTCAAGGTATTACTGTTTATGTTATACATACAGTATACTGTACCCTCTTTTACATCACTCGGTTATTTATTAGGCAGCACAGTCATTCAATATGTTATGGTACAAAACAACCCAATACAATATTACCTGACGTGAGCATTTTGATGTTGGATCATGATACTTCCAAAATATTGACAAAAGAGCAGCATAGTCTGTTTGATCTGGATCATAGTCTATATCCACAGTTTCTGTATGATCACCTCTGTTAAAAGAAATCACAATTATGTAAACAAATGCCTTATGAAATTAAAGTTGTCAGTTTAAAGAATATTGTTTGGGTACGGGTATACCCTACTAGGAAAAAACCTATCCTCCTTAACAGAGGGGGGAATAGGTTTTGTAAACATGGGTACCAATACAGTAATTAGAATTGACTGAATAAGCCATTAGTACATCATCTACTTGTATATTTCACTATTTAATTTTTATTTATATGTACAAGGGTTCTTACATTCTTGTATTGCCACTAGCATGCATAGAATTTTGGCCAGGTCCTTAATCCTAATTTTCCCCGGAATATGACCCGGTACCCATTCACTGCTGGGTGAATGGAGGCTACAGTTAGGGATTGGTGCCCAGTAAATCTTTCCCAGCCAGGATACGAACCCAGGCCAAAGCGCTCACGAAATGCCAGGCGAGTATGTTACCACTTTGCCACTAGTGAACCTAACCTTGTAACTGCAGAAAATAATATTAATTACTGGACATCTACGATTGAGTTGGTTTGTTATTGTAACTGTGTGTATTTGCAGGGGCTCGGCTCCAGCTACTGGGTCATGTCTTGACCATTAATGATCTTGACCCTACAAATGTTGTCACATTTACATCTGAATTCATGTATGAGTCTTAACTTTACTAGAAAATATGAAGATGTGAAGGAATCTACACAAGACTCATTGGGTCTTGTAAGACAGCTTCATTTTATAACCAATTGCTCCTACTATACATACGTATACAACATGCACTTGAAATTTTCCAGTGAGTTTGTCAATATAATGTTACCTGGTTGCTTATTTCACAGAACAGCAACCCTATTAAATGTAATTCGCAAATAACACTCACCCACCCACCCCAAGATGGCAGCCCCAGTGTCTCGAGTCCCAGTCAGCCAGCCAGCACATTTACGATCCTGGTGTGACCAGAGTCACAGTTCTACCACGTCCATTGTTACATTTAATCTTCTAAGTAAGTAATGTTGGCAATTCCTGGAATGATTGTGCTATGCAAGCTCATTGCTTGCTTTCGTTCCATACTTCGCTTCACTTGTATTCTGAATCTTCAATCTGGCATTTGCCCTGGTATTGCGAGATCTCTCCTGCTGTTGTTCTCTTTCTAGGTGGGTGCTTGTCTTCCCAGTGGATTCACGATGCCTTCCCTATGGATGGCGGCCTCTTTAGGCTCCTGCTTTTGAAGGCTAAATCACTGAATTACTCATAATCTACACTATTTAAAGGCTTTTCTACCAAATACAGTACTGTACTTACAAACTGCGATAGCTTGGATTGACCTTGGACCCACCGGCGAAGCCAACTCGTGTCCTGATAACACCAGGTGCAGCACCGAACTGGGCCTCAGGAAACCAGAATCATGACATGCCAAATGTGGCCTTTTTTGTTGTAACTTTGGGCTCCAGTAGTTCCATTGTTCTCACTCCCAGGTTAGACTGAAAATAGCAAGATATGAAGCTTAAAAAAAGGGAAGAAGATTAAAGATCATTTAAAGAGACTAAATAATGTACATGAATGAATGCATCTATAAGATAGAATGTCTGTGTCTGTTCAAGGTTGGGGGGCCAGACGTTGGAGGTTATCCTCATGAAACTTTGCTAGGTGATTGGTCTGGAGTACAGAACAGACACAGTGTGGTCAGCATTGCCAGGTTTCAAGAGGGAACAACATGCCACAGTCCCTTTCTCACCGCCACAATGATTTTTGGCGCTGCTTGTTGGCTATACCTAGCTAAATATTTTGAAAAATATATTAATAAATTTCTTATAGTAATATACAACATAATTCACTGATCTCAGGAAAATTAAAAAATTTTCCTCTATTCATACTTTGGCTGTAGCACCATCAAAAATTTAACTTCAACACAGCACCCTCTCCTCCACTTAGTGCAAAGATTAGGCGCTTAGTGCGCAAGCATTAGGTATCGAGATGGATGCCACTCTACCGTATCTATCAGTGATTTGCCTCCATGTCCAATGAGTCCAACAAATCTGATGAAGCATCATGATGTTGAGCTTGATCACAAGAATCAACCCTCTCCAGTCAATGACACAGGGATGAGACTGGTGGAGTCCCCTAACTACACCTAGTATTCAAGATTGTGAATTACCAGATGGGATACCCAATGACAATGATCCACCTTCTCCAGTGAGACCCAGTGACAATGATCCACCTTCTCCAGTGAGACCCAATGACAATGATCCACCTTCTCCAGTGAGACCCAGTGACAATGTTCCACCTTCTCCAGGGAGACCCAGTGACAATAAACCACCTTCTCCAGTGAGACCCAGTGACAATGTTCCAGCTTCTCAGTGACACCCAGTGACAATGGTCCACTTTCTCCAGTGAGACCCAGTGACTCTAATCCACCTTCTCCAAGGAGACCCAGAAAGTCTGCCCGGGTGCCAAGGCCTCCTGATTGTTATGGCTAGGATCTGCCTGAAATGCTATGCGTGTTACTGGCTTTGCAGTAAAGTAAAAAACCAGCGATGAATGTAACGAAACGCCATTTTCTGGGCGAGTCCCGGAGGCTCCCCAGAGCTATCCATGGCCGATATGGATACCTAACTATTTTGCATCAGTCGATGTGGGTGGAGTTCTAGGCCTACCTGGGACCACGAGCCAGAACCTGGCCCCCTCACAGAGGCACGGGGAGCAATGGTCCATAGAAATGCACATGTGATTTGGAGCATTCTATATCTGCCATCGACCGGGACAGGCACCCAGAAAGGTAAGCGCCACAAAACAAACACTTATTCTGGTTAACAACGAAAATCAACAAACGAGTAGACAGAACTCCCCAAGAAAAACGAACAAACAAGCATGACGTCACATGAGCAGCGCTGCATGTCTGCGCAGCTCCCCCCTTCCTCGGGAGGGGGAAGGGGAGCCCCAGACCCCTGAGCCGGCGATCCCCGTCCCAGTTCTGAGGCTGGATATCAAAATCGTGAAAAAAACGCCGACCAGAGGATGGGAGGGTGCCGGGGAGCCTCCGGGACTCGCCCAGAAAATGGAGTTTCATTACATTCAACGCTGGTTTTCTGGGGGGAGCCCTTACGGCTCCCCGGAGCTACTTCCCCAAAGACTACTTAACAAAACAAGGGGACCTACCTGGGAGGTGGTCGGTGCTCTACTCCTTAACTCGAAGTCGAGACAACAGGCTGCATCCGCCACCCTAAAGCAACACAGGCCCAACTGGGCCCAGCAACGTTCACAAGGGAGCGTGCAGCCAGGACCCTGTCCGACCACCAAAAACCTCGTGCCCGAATGTCAGCCCAAGACATATCGCCGAAGACGGCAGCCAGAGCAGCAAACTTACGAATGTCATGGGCACGGGGAGAGACCGCAGGGTGACTAGATTTAATAACCCCGCGGACTACCTGCAAGACCCGAACCCGCGAACAGGGAAGAAGGGAAACCGGATCAACCCAAAGCACGTCCCCGACACAGAAGCCGTGTCACATAGATAAGGGCGGAGGGCCGCAACTGGACACAACACAAGGTGAACCTCCGGCCTGACAACCCAAGGACCCCTCCGGAAAGCAGCAGTCACATTCTTCGCCAGAAAAAAGGGAGACGGCTGCAGACGAACAAACCTATGACTACAACCAAAGGAGCAAAAAACCACTGCGCCTGAGAAGAGCATGAAGCCCCGCCACACAACCCCCAGAGGCCAATGCCAATAGAAAAAAAGAGTCTTAGCAAAGTAATCCTGAACCGAAGGGGCCACAACAAACCGAGGAGAAGAAAGAAAGGAGAGCACTCTGTCCAAAGACCAGGACGGCTCAGGCCATCCTGGTCACCTCAGGCCATGAACAGGCCGGAGGTGAAACAATGCATGAGACAGCCTGCGAAATGGTGCAGAAGTAACATCGATACCGAAAGCCAGCAACAGCGGCTCCGCCAACGCCGCACAATACGAGGTGACAGGATTAGGCAGCAGATGACGGGCCTGGAACAACCAAGAGAAAAAGGACAACACCACCTGAACCGAAAGTGAGGAACAATGACGAAAAGCCAAAAAAAAACGGAAGGACCACCAGGAAACTTCACACTGCCGCCGAGAGGAACCTGCAGGTGAGAAACCAACAGAGAAGCCATCTGCTCACCATAGAGATGGTGAGAAACACGAGTCAAAAACACCAAAAGCGAAGATTCGCAGAGAAGAGCAAACCAGTCTTGCACCGGACCGGCCCGAACTCCAGAAAGAGGCAGAGCCGTGGAAAAACCTCCGGGTTCGGACACCATGCTAGCAGCTCTGGAAACCACGGCTGGGCCAGCCACCATGAGGCCAAGAGGACCACACGACCCAGGGAAGCCTCCAAACGAGCCAGGACCAGGAATAACAGCTGAACCGGGGGGAAAGAAGTACAGGAACCCCCACCTCGACCAGACCCACCAAAAGGCGTCGAACCCAACAGCCACGCAGTCGGGGAAGGGCGCCGTGAAAAACGAAAGACTCCTCGACCACGCCGATGTGAAGAGGTTCACCTCCGGGCGCCCGAACGTCCGGCAGAACCAATGGAAGGATAGCCAAACCCCGAGAACTCAGCAGACGAGTCACCCGAAGCGACCAACCCCAAAGAGCCAAGGACCGCATCGAACTCCCTCGGTTCAGGCAACGAACCACCGGGGAACAGTCCGAATGGAGCCAGAATGGGCTCGGGTCGCCGAATGGGTGACCCGAACCCACCGAAGCACAAACCACACCGCCCCTGGCCGGCCTGGAGCACTGATCACAAAGCCGCAGCCTAGCGACGACGCATCTGGAAACACATCGAGCGAGGGCTCGGGCAAGCACCAAGGCACCGAACCCCGAAAACCCGTAGATGAAGCTGGCGATGCAGCAGCCGACTCGAAGCCCCCAGGGTCGAACCCAGCGATCGGGAGAGAGGCAGAAAGGACGTCCCCGAATTAACCAGAACAGCCGACGAAGCCAAACCCAACCCAGCAGGTAGAACAACATCTCAAAGTTCAGGCTCCCGCACAAACCCTCGAGCAACTGCCGGGTGACCTAGGAGCCCCCCAGAAGCAGACACAGGCAAGACCGCAGCTGAAGGAGAGACTCCGGAGGAAGAGACAAGGAAGCGGTCCGAGAGTCCCACACAAGACCCAGCCAGGACCGAACCTGGGAGGGAACCAACGGGACTTCCGCCAGTTCACCAGGAACCCGAACCTGGCGAGCTGGGAAACACCAATCCCTGGCGAGCAGACATGTGGACCAACCGGGAGACCAAAGCCAGTCAGTCGTCGAGGTAAGCCAACATTTGAACACATAACAAACGCAAACGGGCCACCACGACCCGGGTAAGGCGTGTGAACAAGCGAGGTGTCAGATACAACCCAAAGGCGAGACAACGAAAGCGGTAGGACTGATGCCCCACAACAAAACAGTAGCAACGCCTCCCGCAGGACCGGCGCAAAGAGCTTCAACATGGTAGACAACGCCCGAGCAGCAGATACCAAGGTACCAGACCCAGGAACGTCCCCAAGCGTCTTTACAACCTCTGCAAGCCAATCTGAAGACTGCTCCAGGAGGGAAAAGAAATGCAGGACTGAAGCCAAAAAGCCACGAGCACGCAATTCCTCCGCCACAAGTGCAGCCGACAGGTAAGGAACTCGCACAAGGAGCCGCACCGCACCAACATCCCGCAGTAGGGCAGGAGCGAAAAGCCACTTATTAAGATGCGTAAAGTCTCCCCCCAGGAAAACCTGGACCACCGTCAATGCCTCGTGCCACTGAAACGTGTGGGTTCGACAGAACGAGTCCCAAGCATCCAGCGAAAAGAAGGGGAAGTCTGCAAGCCAGGAAGGACACGATGATCCAAACCTGAACAAAGAAGGAACCATTACGGAGGCAAACTCCGGGTCACGCAGGAGGTAAGTCGCAAAGGCCGACCGCACCGCAGGCAGAGAGATGCGGGTAGCCGAAAACCTCTGGAAGACGGAACCGAAGAAACCACAGGGACATGGAACCGAACCCGGGGAGGAGCAGAATCCAAGTCCAAATCGTACGCAGAGGGGGAAAGAAAACTCCACTCCTTGCAATAGTAAGCCCCGCTCAGAAGGACAGAAATCAAGGCGGGGTCCAATGGAGCCCAAGGTCCCCAAGGCAGCTCCTCCCCAACCCCAGGAGCCTCAACACCAGGCCCCAGGGTCGAGTCGACCTCCAAAACCCCGGCCCCACAAGAAAAAGCCGGGGCAGCCGAAAGAGCTGGAAGAGAAGGGGTCCACTGGTTAGACTCCGGAGCATCAGCTGGAAGAACAGACTCGAATGCCTCCGCAGCCACCCTGGATGGGGCAACCCCTGAAACTGCCCAAGTCTCAGAAACCTCTAAACCCTGCCCCGACCCCAAAGCCCTCAGACGCTTAGGGGCCAGAAGCAGGAGCACTGTTACATAGTAACAGTGCTAGT